AACGCTGCAAACAAAATAAAAACACTAGCAAACAAAAAAAGAAACGCTGCAAGCAAAAAATAAAAACATCAGCAAACAAAAGAAAAAGCTGCAAGCAAAAAAGGAAATGCTGCAAACAAAAAAATGAAACGCTGCAAACAAAAAAAGGAAACCCCGCAAACAAAATGGAAAAGCCTTTGCGCGCGCGCATTTCATATTAATTGACAACAGAGGTCAGGTCAGATGCAGGGGGCTACATCATAGGGTCAAGCCATGTTTTGCTCTAACTGTGAAACAAAAAGGGGTGTCTATAAAACGACGACCGAAGACCCAAAAACAAAGACCCCTATTTTTTTCTCGTTCATTTTGATGATAATACGCCATGCATGCTGTCACAAAATCAAATTTACGACATTTTTTGGGCGTCTGTTTGTGAAATTTTCAAGGGTCTTCGTTTTATAGACACCCTATATGGGTGTCTACAAAACGAAGACTCGAAAACGAAGACCTCCAATTATTTCTCAATTATCATATTGAAAGTATTTCAAAATCATCATAAAACAGTTGCCAAGTACATGTTTCATTATTTTATCACGATTGGGAGAAAAAATTTTTGCCATTCTTGTGGTGATCTTTAATGGAGGACTCAACTTCTAGTATTAATACACGAAAACGGCCAAGTCCAAATGAAAGTCCATCATCAAGTAGGCCTAAGCTTGCTCGTCTCTCATTTGAGGCTTTCAGAGATAGGAAAGAAAAGGAAAGGAGTATTAGATTCACCAAGAAAGCCGTGTCAACGAAAATAGAGAAAAACCCCGAGGTCACCATACAGATCGGTCTTTTAACGTGATGGTGTGCTGAAAAGTGTCAGGGGATCAACTCTTTCCTTGAAAGTAAATCCTTTGATAGGAATGGAGGAGCTCTTAAAAAAAGGGGCCGAAAACATGATCAAGTTGCACAAAGAGCTCATCAGCTTCCCAGAGGCTTTTACTTTATTATACCCTGACAGAAGTGCAGTGCAATTTTTGCCAGGTAGTGAGGAGGTATTTTCCTTACAAAGATACAAGGAAGAGCTAGGAAAATCCTACCAACGGATTACTGTGTATTTATGCCTCAAAATCGATTATAACGAATGAGCTGAATTTGAGTCTTCTTTTTAGCATCTCTCATCTGACCTGACCTCAGTCTGTTGTCAACATAGAGATATAATAAGAATAATAATAATAGCTTAGCTCTATGGGCGCGCGCGCAAAGGCTTTTCCATTTTGTTTGCAGGGTTTCCTTTTTTTGTTTGTAGCGTTTCATTTTCTTGTTTGCAGCGTTTTCTTTTGTTTGCTGGTGTTTTAATTTTTTGCTTGCAGCGTTTCTTTATTTGTTTGCTAGTGTTTTTATTTTTTTGTTTGCAGCGTTTCTTTTGTGTTTGCAGCATTTCTTTTTTGTTTGCAGCGTTTCATTTTTTGTTTGCTGGTGTTTTCTATTTTTGTTTGCATCGTTTCCATTTTTGTTTGCATCGTTTCTATTTTTGTTTGCATCGTTTCTATTTTTGTTTGCAGCGTTTCTTTTTTGTTTGCAGCGTTTCTTTTCTGTTTCCATGATTTCTTTTTTGTTTGCATCGTTTCTTTTTTGTTTGCAGCATTTCTTTTTCTTTGCAGTGTGTCCCTTGTGGGCCATCGTACTTTCTGATCCATTGCTCCGAATCCGGAGTCCGGGGAAAAAATCGGACTGTGTAAATGTGAACGCTTCAATTCTTTACCACTAAAGCCATTTCTCACGATTTTTTCTCCGGACCGGAATCCGGGCTTGATGTGAACGTAGCTTAATAGCTGTCTCTTATACACATCTAGATGTGTATAAGAGACAGCTATATACTACCATACGGCCCTAGTCAACTCGGGCCTAGTCAACACGGCCCCAAGTCAACTCGGCCCCAAGTAGGATGATAAAATATTATTGATAGGGCCTACTAATCATCATCACTGGCCCTTAAATTATTTATATGAAACAAGAAATTATAATAGGCCTAGGGCCAAGATAGACTTTCATGGCATTCAAATATTATTCATTAATACAGTATATAATAATATTTGTTTTATTTAGAAATGGAACAAGACAATAAAATGGAAAACCTAATTATCGAGGTGGAGAACAATCTGCTTTTATATAATTTGGCTGATAAAAGCTACAAAGATACCAGGAAGAAGTTAGGTGTGTGGGAAGAGATAGCCCAGAAGGTTGGCATAGAGTCAGGTAAGCACCTAGGCCTCATAAATAGAACAAAATAACAGCAGTTAATAAATTAAGTACAGACAAACTGAAAGAAAAATGCTATCTGTAAAGGTATGTTCAGTCAAGCTATGGAGCTACTTTATTATCTAAATTATCCATGGCTGTAATAACATACATGTATCGCATTGTATCAATAGATAATTTGAATTATGAGATCATAAGTCAAACAAACTTATCGCAAGCTATTTTTTAATAATCTCATGAATAAACACATTTGATTTTTTAATGTGAAATCTCAATAATAATTGTTTAAAGTAATTATTAAACAACTAAATTTAAAATGAAATTAAAACTTAAAAATGGTGAAATTTAATTAATATTCTAATCGAACATAGATCTTATATGCAAAGTACGCAACAAATTATGCAATATACACTTAATTCATACTTTAATACACATCTAATTTTTTTTTCAGGTAAAATTGCCTCAAAAAAATTTCATAACATCAAAGATGCCTATGTGGAGTACTTAAGAAAATTAAATGTACGGAGTGGTCAAGGACTACAAGGCAAGATTCGGAAGTACAAATGGGCAGATCAACTGCAGTTCTTAAATGCCTTTGTGACTACAAGGAGGTGTTAATATTTTTTTTTTTGGTACATAAACAACTGAAAATAAACTACAGTAAAATGAGATTTATGAATTAAACTACAAGTTCTTATTAATAAATATTATTTGTTTTACACTCAACTACAGTACTGTAATTATAAAAAATACAAGTTAATTTTGATATAAAAATATGTTGCTACCAAACATTTATCAAATTAAGTATTGCTGTTAAATAGTACAGTACTGATTTACATTGCATTACAATAAAACAGTTAAGGAACGTCTTATGTATAAATGCATCCATGGCCTCACTCAAGTTTGTTTCTGTAATGAAGTTGAAATGATGTTCGACGGACTTTCACTTAAAACAATAAATTAAAAAATCACAGATTTGTGCAATTACTAAGTGCATAGGATAAATATAATTTAATATTTGCTGTATTGCAAATTCTGCATTTTATTTTTTTAACATTTGATCACTATTTTAACATCAAGAATTTACTTTATTTGTTAAGGGAAAAAATAAAAGGTTTTTTGAACCTTTTCACTAATTTAATTTATTGTTTTTTGCAGAAGCACTGGAAATTTGCCATCTACTCCAGATGATAATCTAGCACACTACTACTAAATACTATTCTTGAAGGTGTTGTAAACACTGAAGATGATGATAATGAAAATGATGAAGCGGGTGCATCAACGGCCAATATTGAGCTTGGTGTTATGTCATCACAAATAAAAAGGAAGAAAGTTAAGAATGATGAAGTGAATTCAGCCATAATTGACTATCTTGCCTCCAAATCTGTGTCTAGTAATGAGAAGGATGGATTATCATGTTTCTTCGAGTCAACATTAACAACAGTTAGGGCTTTTCCAAAAATCAAACAAATTGAAATTAAAAAAATCATCAGCAATGCTGTTATAAACATTGAAGAGGAGCTAGCGCTCAGTGAGGAGTAAGGCAATACAGGCCCTTGATATATTGCAACACAGATTAAGATTGTAAACAGGCAAATCCTCCCTCCTCGATGATTTAAACAGCAAAAGCACTGATAATATTTTAATCACTATATTCAATAGTCCCTTTTACTATGCACATTAATATTTTGAGTACATTTATATACTGAAATACAATACATAAAATAGATAAGGTGTTGTTATGAAATAAGTCAAGTTGTAGGCCAGGTCAAATTGAGATACTGTATTCACAAAATTATACTGAACTGTTTCTTTTTATTGAGATTTTACCGGGTTTAAAAAATTTAATAATTAATTACACAATAGCAAACATTCTTTAATTACTGTATAGGCTTATCTTGAAACTGGGATTGAGGCATATTTTTATGGCAGATTTTAAAAATGTACCTAAGGAAACAGGCAAGAAGAAACGATTATATTTTTCGTACAACAAGGCATTTTATAACAACACACGTAGCTTTATAAAATCCAATGACAGGTTTAACTGTTGTTTACTTGGCATGGCCAAAAAATGCATAGTTTTTCCATGATACTCTCCCAATCTCAGAATTGAACCATCTTGAAAATTTTTCTCTGACATCAATGGCATCCCTTCCACTATGATATCCTCTGTACTCCAAATTGAGCAGACCATTTTGCTCAGTAATAGGTTCCTCCTCCAGATCAGGATTAAATCCTACATTACTTGAGTTGGTTTTCCGGATAAAGTTGTGTAGTACACATGTGCATAGTACAACCTTGTCGATGTTTTCAGGTTTTAATTCTAACTTTCGGTGGTACATCCTAAATTTGTTCGCTAGAATGCCGAAAGCATTTTCTGATATCCTCCTTGCTCAGCTGTGCCGGTAATTGTACACACGATGCTCCTTCATCAAATTCTTTCCTAAAAAAATACAAAGTGAAATTACTGTACATCAGGAAAAAAAAAAAAAAAAACTGTTACCCTGTTTTATTCAACTTAAAAGTTATTTTTAAATCCATCAAATTTATAAAACATTTGCCTAAAACACATTTTTAAATAAACCCGCCATTAAAATATGGCTGACTTATTTACCTGGAAATGGCCTCATTAGGTGGTTTTTCAGAGGGAATGCCTCATCTCCTACAATAACGTGGGGCACAAGTCCCAGCTCTGGCATTCCCGGCAATTCTTTTGGTGGTGGAATCCCAATTGAATTTGACTCGAGGGCTAATTTTAAATTCATTCTTGAAAAGATTCCACCATCACTACTCGAACCGTAGTTGCCAACATCAACAAAAATAAAATTGTAGTTTGGGTCAACCACTGCCATAAGTACAACTGAATAGGTTCCCTTATAGTTGTAAAAAAGGGAACCCGAGTTGTCTGGTGCTTTAATCACCACATGTTTTCCATCAATTGCACCCACACAATTTGGAAAATTCCATCTTTCCTTGAATGTAGATGAAATGTCGGCCCATTCCTTTTTACTTCGTAGTGCCATATAAAGTGGCTGGAGCCTAAGCCATATTGCTTCAGCGACCTCAACAACAATTGCACTAATTGTAGATTTTCCAACCCGAAAGTTGTAGTTCAGAGATGCATAACTGTCTCCTGTTGCAAGGAATCTGAAACAGGAAGAAACAAAATGTAAATATGATGTACTGTACTAAGAACAAGGTGTATGGTATTTTAATATTTATGTTACTGTTCATTGTAAATTGTATTTCTTACTGTCATCTGTTATTGTATTGAATTGTATCATTAAATATCAAAATTATTACATGTACTGTATTATACAGTATCAACTTTTATTTAAGGTCTGTGTACACGAGGAAGTTGAACTATATGTACGTAGAAAATACTTAACAAAGTACAGTACCTGAGACATATTGCTAGGCGTTCTCTGGCTGTTATACTTTTCCTGAAATTTGTGTTATCTTTTGAAATGTCATCTTTTACTAAATCTAGTAACATTTCAAATTAAACACGAGTCATTCTGTAACACAAAATTTAAATTGAAAATTAGTAAAATTGTTATTACTGAGTATGTACCAGTCAGTAAATAAACTTACATTCCACTACAAAATTTATTAAATGAAAGTTAGACTTCCTCATTTAGGGAACAATTGTAATTTTATATTATTCTATTGAGATGCAAATAAATCAAATGAAAACTACTGTATTATCAATTGCTACTCTTTTATTCTTATTGTGGAGAATAAATAACATGGTAATTTCTTTTCATTTAGCTGAAGTTGTTGGTATTGACTGCATTCAAGTGTTGGTAAAAATTTATTGTAATGGATAGAGGAATCTTATCGATAGATGATGAAACAATGCGAACACCTACTGCATAACATTGAAGTCGTAGTAGTTGCTGATAAAGTAGAGGGAACCCCACAAAAGACAAAAAATTCCCCCAAGTTTACCACTAAAAAGGAAAATGGTGAAAACCAAATAAATAGTGAAGTATTTGACAGCAAAGAAGGAAAAAGATCCATTGGCCAGCTTTTTGAGTCTAGAAAACAAACTGTGCACAGACTTCCCAAGGCCAAACAAGTCCAAGTCAAAAATTAGTAATATTTCAGTTCTTAGGTACGAGCGCCAAGGATATGCCAATAAGTGAACTTAATTGCTATCCTACATGGCATAACCATTAAACGACCGGACTGAATGAAGCAGTACACCGGGGTAACCCCTACTTTTCTCTGAGGATGTACTGAGCTCTTTAAAGTGCACACGAGCCAAATGTGTATGTCGGGCCTACGCTTTAAAGTCCTTAACCGAGAAGACTTGTTCCACCACCGGAACCATTGGCTTGAATAATAATATATGGATTATAATATTTTAATTACATTATTTATATATGGTTAGTTAAACCTTGCGAACATTATTAATTAGTGGTCAATATTAATATTACAATAATATTTCCAAATTTGAATTCCACATAGTTTGCTAACGTCGGTAAGTTTCAAATATCTGGTTTAACCACGAGAACAATTTGTATATAAATGTGAAATTGTTAATAAATACAAGAATCTGTTGTACAATGTCAAAATTGTTGTTTGTATGCTTACTCTGATTTGATTTAGTTATTTTAATTAAAAATGTACTGTTCCTCACAAATAGTTGCACTTTTAATTTGAATTGCTTATTTATAATTATCACAAAAGTTAAGAACTGTCAATAAGAAAGGTTGCAAAAATAAATTAGTGGTATGCTATAAATACTGTTATAACAAATTTTCTGGTAAGCTTATAGTTCATGATAGAGTCAACATAAAGTAGTTTAGATAGGACTAAAGTGCAAGTGCTGCTGTAGGATGTATTTTTGGGGAGGGGCTGAGTGAGATAAAGATAAGGATTGCCATCTGAGGGCCTTCCGACCAAGCCGGGTGGATGGTTTGGGAGGGGGTATCCTAATGAGATGGCACTCTCTCAGACTGGAAAACTCTTAAGTATTTGATAAAGTACAATTAAGATCTATAAACTCAGCTCAATAAACACTCATTTCATTTCATTAGGCCTACTTTTTTTTTGGTCCGTCTGCCCAACAAACTCTGGTCGTCGGAGGGCTTGACATGTCCCATGGGGGTCTACAGCACCCTCCCCCCCCCCGACACCTCGGCTGCCGCCGCCTGGTGTTATATTTAAATTTAACATGATACTAAGGAAAAGGTAAGAAGCTAGGATTTATACACTATAGGCCTACACTAATTCCTCAGTTTATTGAATTGACCCATTCGGATCTCTCATTTTTCTTCTAATTTTGACGTCTTCCACAGCATCCTCGACATCACCGTAGCTATGTTGACGTCGTTCCACTTGGTTGCTTCCTTTGACCCTGACGCTTTGTTCCCCGGACGCGATGTGAACGCACAACCGGAAATCGTAACCGGGCCCGGATTCCGGTCCGGACTCCGGACCGGAATCCGGGCTTGATGTGAACTTAGATTTATTATCATTTTGTTACTTATTAAATTAATTTTTTGGGTTATTTTTTCTACAAAACGTGTCATATTTTCAAATTATTTTAATATCGTAAGTTTGGTCTTTTTTTTTTTATCACATCTTAGTAGGCAGCTATGAAACCGTAAATCAGGAGAGTATGTTGTCGGAAATGAATATTTGGCTAGGCTATTTGGTACAGTAATTTGTTTTTCATTAGGCCTATCAATTATTATTTTCATTTCAAACAGTCGTAAAACATTACGTTGTTTTTACTATTGTCGTAACATAGGCAAATATTCACTACAAGATACAATGTTTCTCTAATGTTATACTTAAATGGCGGAAAATTATTCAAAGACAGCTCACATATTTTAATTCAAAGGACCACAATACACCAGACGAGACAGAATAACAGTGCGTAAAATTTTCTCCTTAGCCAATTCTTCGAGTTTTCATCGGCATCCCTATTGTTCTGATGAATTTAGTAGACATAAGAAGTGATTTATTCGTCAAGCCTTGTTAGAGAGAGTGTTTTGTCAGGGTGTGGATGAAAAAGTAAAGGGGTGGGGTTATAGGGGGTCTGGATTTGTTTTATAAATGTATAAACATTTTTTTTAAATACAATACTTTTTCAGAATTATGTAAGTATTTACAAGTAAAATGATCAGATTTCTATTGTTGCAAGCTACATTGTAAATAGACTGGGTTCCAGTCCCTAATCTTTGTCTTAATCAGTAAAAAAGGTGGAAAAATCGACTTTGGCACCAATGGCGTTCATATTACCTATTTGCTTGGCGTTTCATAGTATACTTTTGGATTATTTTCCTCTAATTCGCATCAAAAAAGTTTCTCGACATAAATTGCTGGTGGCGCTTTTCGAAATGTGCTACTACTACGAAAAATCAAGAAATTAGAGACTTGTGGCAAGTCTACATTGTAGCATGGGGAGGTGGTAAGGTGTTTAAACAAGACAATAATTCCTCCATTCGAGCTACCGGTTCCATCATTAAAATACTGGTAGATCAAATTAACTATTCTATATCTTCTTTAAGATCAAAACATTTAACGTTTATGCGTCCGCAATACTTAATTGAATGATAGGCATAGGCCTATTATACCTTTCTTTGTGACCAGTGATCCAAATTAAATTATGCCTAGGGCTGATGGGAAATTATGCTAAATTATACCAAATGTTAAATTTAATGGTTGTTTAAATATATAGCGGCATTCTCCCACCTAAAATGAAAGCAACACTATTCTCAATACTATTACTGTGTACCCAGTGGTGTGGCATGTCGACGGTATCAGGTCTGATCTTTCCGACTGGGAAGGATAGTGTAATTGGAATGGCCAGTTTTCCGGACGGGAGAAAGTTGGCGGTGTCAGGGAATCAAGAACAATATATACTATATCCAAT